CTCATGCGCTTATCCTCCTGACGATTTCAAGCACTTTTTACTCTCTTTCCAAAGTTCTTTTCATCTTTCCCTCGCGGTACTTGTTCGCTATCGGAAACCTGGCCGTATTTAGCCTTGGATGGAGCTTACCACCCATGTTGGGGCTGCACTCCCAAGCAACCCGACTCTTCGGATGCGTCTCGTGGAGTGACGGGTCGTCGCCCGACGGGGGTGTCACCCTCTCTGCCGCCACTTTCCAGTGGACTTAAGGCGGCGCCCGTCACAGAGAACGCTTCCTTTTCAGACTACAATTCGGAGGGCCGGGGGCCCTCGGATTTCAAGCCTGGGCTTTTCCTTGGTCGCTCGCCGCTACCAAAGGAATCACGGTTGTTTTCTTTTCCTCCGCTTAGTAATATGCTTAAATTCAGCGGGTGGTCTCGCCTGACTTGAAGCCATCGTTTGGGGTTTGCCCGGTTCCTCCCCGTCCGACCATTTTTGTACGAGCCCCGTCCGCCTCTCGCCCGTTCTTGTGCGCTACTTTGGAGGGGGAGACCGGGGGTTGCCACGCCCCCGGCTCCCGAACCTTTTCGCGACCGTCTCGGGAGAGAAAAGAGGGACCGAGTGACCGGCCCCCCCACCTGCTGGGAGGTCCGGACGGAGTCCGTTGGCCGGCTGGGTTCGCCGAGCCCAGCGGGGTCGCCGCCCGCCTCATCTCGCTCGTCCCACTCGCGTCCTCCCGGGTGGCGCCCGGGGATCTGCACTGGGGTCGAGAGGAGCGGAGACGGGCTAATGCGGCCCTGCGATTTCAACCGACTGCCCCCCATTTGTGCCCCGGAGCGCACGGGTTGCGACGGCCATCTCGTTTTCCCAGGTACGAGCGATTGTCTCGGAGAAAGGGGGGGGCCGGAGCCCACACCAACCCGAGCGCCCCTTGTCTGCCCCGCATTGCTTTCCCGTCCCGTTTCCCCTGCCGCACTTAGCTGCGTGCGGAGGGGTGGGTTCGGATGCGAGGTTCCACCTGGATGTGTGTGGCGTTCAAGCAGACGTGCCCTCGGCCGAGGCCTCGGGCGCAACATGCGTTCAAAGTTTCGATGATTCACGGAGTTTTGCAATTCGCATTACGTATCGCATTTCGCTGCGTTCTTCATCGAGCCAGGTTCCAAGATATCCATCGTCAGGAGTGGGG